AGGGCTGAGAACAGTGAGCAAGGCTGTGCAGTGGATTTTGGGTGAATCAAGCACTGATATAGTTGCTGTTTGGCAGGGTGGGGAGCTGCTAACTTTTCTAGATCAGGATGTTGGCAGGGTGGTGGTCATTTAGTCATTCAGTACACACTCACTGGAGCCCCCTCTGTGTTGGGTGATGTGAAGGCACAGAGGAGATTGACCCTATGAGAGGCAGGCTGCAGACATCCATTCCAGTAATGCAACCCGGGAAGGGATTCTGTGCTGTGGCCTGGGCAGAAGTGAGCAGGACAGAGGCCTGTGGCCTCATGGTGGAAGAGGAAGGGCAGCAACAGGGTGGAGGAAGCAACAGGCACAGGACTGAGGCCCACTTGATGAGGAGGCCAGGACATGAAGGAGGAAGTGGGCAGCTGGGAAAGTTTGCCCTGTGGAAAGAGGTGATGGGGAAAGAGACAGATGTCCAGATCACTGGACCTGGCCTCACCTCACATCTGTGCTGATGAGAGTCCCAGGACTGGATTGGCCTATGTGACATCTCAGGGGAAAGGTCCTGATTCCAGACTGGGGTGTAAACTGGGCCCCTTGTCCTCTGGGGTCGTCTCAGTGAGCCAAACATTTACAGATACAGCCATGCTGAGCAATCGGAAGTGTGAAGACTGGGGGAGCCCCAAGAAGGTCCCAAAGGAGCCTGAGGCATGAGGGGAGGCCCACAGAGATGTATTTTGAAGGAAGTAGGAGTTTGGCTGGTAGGGAAAAGTATTGCAGGTGGAAGGAATCCTGTCTGCAAAGGCTTGGAGTGTGTGTTTATGAATACAGCTCAGCTCAGTCAGAAAGAGCTGGACTGTGATTGGGAGGTAAGGTCAAGGCCAGTCTGATACATTCAGTTGCCCCTCTCTGCAGCCTACCTGCCCTCAAAGTGAGCCTTGGCTCCTCTGGCCAGAGATGACTACAGACAGAAATATTGAAAGAGAACCAGGTGCAGGTGGAGAAGGAGGCAGCTTCTTGGCCTGACCTACAGGGCTGAGCTTCCTTTGGCCTCAGCCAGGGTGAGAAAACAGTGCTGATGATCTGTGGCGGGGGCTCTGCCTTAATGCCTGCAGGCAGGTCAGAGGGGACACTGAAACTCAGAGGGGAAGTGATCGACTGATGATGGTTGAGCTGGGACTCAAACCCAGGCCTGCCTGTCTCTGAAACCCTGTCTCCTGCCTGGAGTCCACACATCTCATTCTGCCTGGCATAGACTCTGTTTGTGCCTGTTGCTCTGTCATGGTTATTGACAACCCCGAAATGTTTCTGGTTTATACGATGAATGTTAGGGTCACTCTACTCTTACCCATTCTGACTTGAAGTCCTCATATGTCTCTCACCGCCCCCCCCCCCAGGTATAAGGTCTGCTGTGTATTTTTCCCTAATGCGTAAACCACACTTCTTAGGCTGAGGACCTAGGCTAGGGTGGATCAGCCCTGCCTGAGGAGTTCAGTCTTGCCATGGATGCTGTAGCAGGGAGAGCAAATGGTTCATGCTCCTCTTGACTAGTGGAGAAAGGCGGAAGGCTAAGAGTCAGGGGCATGGGGGCAAAAGGGGAGCAGCTCTAGAGGCATCCCGGAGCTGCCTAGAAACCAAGGGCCATGGATTGGCACTTTAGATGCGGGTAGGCTTTTCTTGTAGAGCAGGGAGGGCAAGAGATGGAAGCAGTGTGATAAAGCTTGGAAGGGCTGTTGTGTTCATGCTGTGGGCTGGGACTGAGGCCATTGGGCAGCAATGGACTGGGGAAAGGATTGGATCAGGGGTGCTCCCCAGGCCCTATTGTCAGTAAGGGACACTGCCTCCTCCCTTGGGGATTTCCCACACGCTGTGCCTTCCTGACCCCACTTCTTCTTTCCTGGGCCTGGCCCTGACTCAGCAGGGCCCATGCCTGTGCTAAGCAGCCAGGAGGCTTCCTGGAGGAGATAGTTAGAGTGGGGCTACTATTTAGTGTAGAGGGTTACAAGAGACCCCTTCATCCTCCTTCCTGGGACATTGTCCTCTTCCTGTGAAGGGTCTTCTGGGAGGAGCCCTTAGACTGTGTCCCCTCTCCCTTCTTGTCATGGTCATAGTGACTAGCTGTTAGAATTGTGAGTTGTCTCTCTTGGACAGAATGCCAGCTCCAGAGCTGCCTACATTCTGAGTCTGGGTGGACAGATCCTGACCTGGCCTAATTTGTAGGTTTAAATCCCACCAGTGGGGATCAAAGACAATGACTTAGATGTTTGATGCCTCAGTTTCCTTATCTGTAAAGTGGGACCATAAGCTTACCTTATAGAGCTCTTGTAAGAAGTAAATGAATCCATGTAAACCACTTAGGAGGTAATTAGGAACACATGTAGACACACATAGTTAACTAATAAGAATGAATTAATCCAGGTATTCATTTATTTATAAATCTCTGCTTAGAGTTTGCTGGGAATACAAGAGTAAAAACGTTGAGCCCATTGATGGGTGGCAGGCCTCAGGGTGGCAGACCTCTTGGAGGCAATGAGGTCGGTGATGAGGTAGACTGGACACAGTGCCTGGACCCTGAGACTGGGGAGCAGGTAGGCACCCTATCGCCACCCTCTTCCCCCCAATCTGGGGGAGCTTTGGAAGCCAGGCCCTCTTGGGCCTGCTTGGCATTGGAGACAGGGAGCCTCCTCTGTTGCCACCTCCTCTGAACCACAGTCTGGCCGGCCCTGGCCCTGCTGGGTTCTGCTCTCAGCTGATCACAGGCTGGGGTTTCATGGGCCACTTCCTCTTGGCCTCTGGGAGGCAGCAGTGTGATGGATTCATGTGCTTGTCAGGAAGTCTCTGAGGACATCACACTAATCACCTTGGGGGCACCCCCAGGTTATGCTCTTGAGCAAGTGGGCACTCAGTCATTTGGGTCACCCTGTCAACTCTAATGACCAACTTGTCTGCCTACCCACAGACCCATCTACCTGTCCATCTGTTCTTCTGCCCATCACCTGTCTAGCAGGTTCTTGTCATCTGCTCAGCCAGGCCCTGCACTGAACTGTGGGGATGTTGAGTCAAGGCTGCCCCTGCCCTAAAGGGACTTAGGGCCAAATGGGAGAGAAAGCTTGTGTGCCCACTGGGGGATCTTCTTGGGTCCAGCTGAATATAAACCCATAAGACTACCTTGAGCCCCTGGAGAGTCAGTGGGGAGAGCAGTTTGCCATCAGGGCAGTGGCACGTCTGCCTCTATTGTGGGGTCCTTAAAGCAATCCATGCCACCAGGAACCACCCTCCGTGGCCCTCCAGGGGACAGTTGAGGGGTGAGGGACTGAGGATCAGAGCAGGCAGGTGGTTTCCAGGGAGCCAGCCTAACCTAGAAACCTCTTGCTCCAAGGGTCAATATGACTTCCAGCATCTTCTAGCATCTCACACATGTGACTTCAAGTCCTTGCCTGGATATGCTCAGGTACAAGTTGCCACAAGCCCTGACTTGTGCTCCAGGGGCAGCATCCACTGGCAGTCTCTCCTGGTCACGATGCAGTTCCTGCGCAGGCCAATGTTGCCAAGGCAGTGCTGCCTGGTAACGTGGCTGCCCTGCAACCAACAGCACGTTCCAGGGGAGCAGCTGGCAGCCAGCTGCACGTCTGACTCCACTTGGAAGGGAAAGGGACAAGTTCTCCTCATGCAAGGAGAAGGGGTGGCTGTAGTACTAAGACTGGGAAGAAGCCACAGGTCGTAAGATGCATGTGGGGTTCAGATCCCAGCTCAGATGCGATGCTAGCAGTGAATATGGCATGAGGGATGTACTTTGAAAACTGTCACCTGGGATGATGACTGAAGCTCACAAGGAAAGGAAGCATAGTAGGGACTGGGTAACGGAAGGAGGGGTGGGGGAGACTCAGTTGTACAGGACAAGAGGGGAACCAGTGGAGGCAGGAGTGGAAGCTATAGCTACAGGCTGACCTGTCATGTCCTCCTAGTCCTCCTTGCTTTCATGACAGTCACACACTGGCAGTCACTGCTGGGAAAACGGGGGAATAAAGCAGGCCAAAAGTAACCCGGGGGAAGCTGCCCACTATGCTACTCTTCCTCAGCCCCCGTGGGATGTGGACAGACACCTGGTGGGACCAGGCCTCCAGGGTTCAGCACTTGGTCTGGCTGGTGGGCCTGTAGCATCCCATGTGCACGTGACACAACTTGGCCATGGAAATAGTCCCCACTTTACAGAAGAGGAAACCAATGCACTGAGAAGCCAGGCACTTGTCCCAGGACACACAGAGACTGTGAGGCAAGATTCAGGCCTGTGTCTTTGGCAGAGCCTTTCAGGAGACACTTAGCTGCAGGGAGCAGTATGCTAAGATGACAGGTGCGCTGTGGTGGGATAGCAAGGGTCCTGAACCTAGCCCTGGAGGGTGGGGGAGGTGTTCTGGGGAGTGATAGTGGAGGTGAGGGGCCCATGTTTTAGGAGATGAGTATGGTGGGATGAGGGGAGCAGGAGAGGTTGGAGGGCACTAGAAGGTAGTGAACATTCAAGTCTGGGCAAGAAAAGAGGAGACCTGGGTCCAGAAGCTCACAGTTCAGGGGCTTGGGTGTTGGTTTCTGGGACTCTGGTCTGTACCTTTGACCTTGGCCTCGATGCTTGTTTCAATCCTGTGCCATCCCTTTGTCAGCAAATGCCTTCCTCCCCTTCAGAATGCAGGTCAGGCTTACCTTCCCTAGGAAGCCTTCCTCACCTCCTTGTTCTGGTCTCTACCTCTCCTCCAGCATGGAGGCCTTGGGGGTGCATGCAGAGCCCTGGGGACAGCTGACCAGCTCATTCAGGCAGAGTTGCTTGCTTCCTATAGGCTTTGGGGAGTCAGGAGGGCTTTGGCCAGGAAGGTAAGGCAAGGGGCTGCATGTTGAGGGCTCCCATTTCTCCCATTTGGAGAAGTGTGTGTAGGGAAGGGGTTTGCTACAGCCCACATGAGCAGGACTCACTGGGGTTGAGCTCTGGCTGTGTTGCACAGTGATGCCAACTTTTGTTCTGTTCCCAGCCTTCCCTCCAAGGAGGAGGGGTTATTATTGCCACCACTGTCATCCGGTCCCCAGCCAGAGCCTGTGGAGCTCCTGTCCACCCTCCCATCCACTCTACTCCAAGGGCCTTTGCGGCCCCCATCTTCCCCTCCCTGTCCCCCGGAGATCCCTCCCAAGCCTCTCCGCCTGCCCCCCGAGTTCGGTAAGTGCTGTAGCTGGATGGCACTCAGGGGCTCCGGCGGGGTGAGATGGAACTCTGGATGTTTGTCTGGGATTGTCCCTGCAGAGCACGCAATGGTCACATTCCATTTCTACTTTGGCCATGAGCCCTGTGTGTGGCCTAGGCTGTTCCTGGGCCTCCCTGAGCATCCTTCTCTTTATCTATACCTGCCATCCTGACTGGCAGGCGTGGGTCCTGGTTGACTCCGGACTCTGGAGATAGCCATGTTCCAAGTCTGACCTTGGCTTGCTCCCCATCGAGTGGGGTTTGCTAGTCCTGGGGTGGTCTGGGTTCTTATTGCTTTGTTACCCTTTTGTGGACAGTCCCCACCCCTGACCCTAAGTTTGCTGCCTTTTCAGCCCTCCTTGTGGTGGCCCTGCCTCTCCTTTGGTATAAATAGCACTTCCTGTCCTCTACGCCTTTCTTTTGAAAGCCAGGCCAGGCCGGGAGGTGGGGTGGGGGAAGGGGGAAAGTCTTCCTGGTCTGGGGGTGGCCTTTGTAAAGCCAGGCATGGTGCTCAGGGAGAAGCAGCTGTGCTCCCTGCTTCTGAGTGTCCTGTGCTCCTCTCTTGCCAGATGATTCTGACTACGATGAGGCCCCAGAGGAGGGGCCTGGGGCCCCTGCCAGCGTGATGACCAAGAAGGTGGGGTAGGGCAGTGGTTGGGTGTGGGCTGTTTACCTGTGGGTGAAGGGAGGGCTGCCTACTGACCTCGTAGACCTGGAGGGCCCCCACACAAAGTGAGCAGTCATTTTTCAGGCGCGCTCCCCTTCCCCACTTCATCATCTTGATATACAGGGGTCTGGGGTCAAGTATAGCCCCAGAACCTTGGGCCAGGATTTGTAGCTCTGGTCTGTGACTCCTTCTCCAGGCTTTGGCTGCATCTGACTGAGCGTGTGTGTGACCCCCTCTGTGTTTCTGTCATGGAGTGGCTGTCCCTTTATCTTTGTTTCACTTTCTGTGTTCCCACGGTACCCTCTTTCTGTTTGCCTCGTTTTCTAGCCCTGAATCTTTCTCTAGCTCTCTATCTTTCTATCTTTATCCTTATCCTAGGTCCATGTGTGTCACTGATTCTCCTTTCCCAGTGACTCTGGGTCCCTGTGTGGTCTCAGCTGATGGGGGAGGGGTAGGAGGAAACAGAAGTAAAAGTGCTGAGTTGTGGGTAGGGATGGAGTGGACAGGTGGGCGTGGTGGCTTGGAGGGTGTGTGATGATGAGTGGGCCTGGGGGGGCAGGAGGAACCCCCACTGAGCCGAGTCCCGCGGGCCGTGCGCGTGGCCAGTCTGCTGAGTGAAGGAGAGGAACTGTCTGGGGATGAAGAAGATGAGGATGGCCATGCTTATGAGGGCATTCCCAAGTGAGTTTCCACCCCACCCAGCTGCCCTCCCTCTCAACCCTGGCCTTCCCATCCCCTTAGCCCCAGCCTGCCTCTCCTTTCCTCCTCTTGTCCTAGTGGTGGGTGGCCCACCAGCAGCCTGAGCCCAGCCTTGCCCAGTCTGATCCCTGAGCTCCCACCGTACCCCATGGATGAGCTGCCTGGGGGCTCCACCCCCATCACACCAGTCATCAAGGCTGGCTGGCTGGACAAGAACCCACCGCAGGGGTGAGTGAAGTCTCCTGGCTCCTGCTGGTGTCTGCACAGGGAGGGCAGTGCTCCAGGACTGGGAGAGTCTGCCTCCAGACACACTGTACCTATCAATTGTCAACTACCCCTCCTGTCACCCCCAGACCTATGTTTTATTGTCGTTAAAATTGGAAAGTCCTACTTGGAGTCTAACTTCAATCCCTTTTACTGTAGGTAGAATCCATTTTCCTCTAGAAGGCTCTCTGGGATCTTTCCTCCTCTGAACCTGGCAACTTTGTGTGTGGTCTCTGGGAAGGGGGTGTGCTGGGGCACTCCTGGAACTTCTCCCCTAACCCCTAGTCCTTTGCTCTGCTGTCCTCCTGCCTCTCCAGATCGTATATCTATCAGAAGCGATGGGTAAGACTGGATGCTGACCACCTGCGATACTTTGACAGTAACAAGGTGAGGCCTGCATCTCTCCCTGACTTGACCCCTTCTCCTGCATGGGCCTAGACTGAACCCTGACATTGGGTCTGTGCAGAGTCCCTAGCTGATTCTCACTAGAACTGTAGTCTGTCCCCTGGAGCTGTGTCCTGGCCCGCGGACTGGCTATGGGCAGTGGGCAGGGCCAGCACAAGGCTATCTTTGGCCACCTGCAGCAGACTGGCCTGCAGCCCTCATTTTAGCTAAGGCTGGGGGACCCAGGGAGGCCCACCTGCACCCACTGAAATGCAGTCCCACTTTCTTCCTCAGGACGCCTATTCTAAGCGCTTTGTCCCCGTGGCCTGCATCTCCCGTGTGGCTGCCATTGGGGACCAGAAGTTTGAAGTGATCACAAACAACCGGACCTTTGCCTTCCGAGCAGAGAGTGATGGTGGGGAATTCTGGGGTTATGTGTATGTGTGGCGGGGGGAGGCGACTGGGAGTCTGGCCAGATAAGCGTGGTGGGGAGAGAAGCAAGGCACATGTGCTCCTCCACCTCACACTCAGGGAGGCATCATCCCTTTGTGGATGGGGAAGGGAAAGGGCACCCTCTGTGGCTGGCTCTGCTTCCCAGTCTCCCTGACCACAGAGCCACATGTCCCCAGGTTTAGGGCAATCGTGCAGTGACTTGCCTTAGCCTAAGTGGCACAAACTGGGACTGGGGCCTGAGTGTGTTCAAGTCAGAGGTGCAGCAGAGTGACAGGCCAGTTTGGGTTGGCTTTCTGGTAGAGGTATTTCTGAGGAGCCTAGGACCAGGAAGCTCCTGGGAAGTCCCTGCCAGAACAAGCTCAGGTGTGATCTTCACCCCTTCCCACAGTGGAGCGGAAGGAATGGATGCAGGCTTTGCAGCAGGCAGTGGCTGAACAGCGCTCCCGGGCCCGGCAGTCTAGTGCTTATCTGTTGGGAGTGCGAGGCTTGGAGCAGCCTGACCGTGCTGGCAGCCTGGAGCTTCGAGGCTTTAAGAATAAGCTGTATGTGGCTGTGGTCGGGGACAAAGTGCAGCTGTATAAGAACCTGGAGGTGCGAAGGGTTCTGTCTGGTCACTGAACCTACCCTGCTCACCTTAGTCCCTCCTCTAGGCCCATGCCCACCTGGGCTCTGCCTTCCTTGCATTGAGCCCAGCACTTTGGCTATCCTGCCTCTGATTGTGACTCCACCTCCCACGTAGTCTCTGAGCACTGCCTTCCATCCCCACCTGGTCTCCTGCATTCCCCATTGCTCATGGGCTCTTCACCCCTGCTCAGATTTCTGGGTCCTTCCCCTCCTTCTTAGGCGCTTCCCAGTCCCACTGGTGCCACCTTTCCCTCCTCTCCCTGCTCTTGGGCCCTATGCTCTCCTGCCAGAGCTTTGCCCTGATTCCCTCCCTCCTTGTCAGGAATACCACCTGGGCATTGGGATCACCTTCATTGACATGAGTGTGGGCAATGTGAAGGAAGCAGACCGGAGAAGCTTCGACCTCACCACGCCCTACCGCATCTTCAGGTGGGCCCCTCTCCCCCTCTTCCTCCCTCCTTCCCTCCCTCCCTCTTTGTTTTGCACAATGGGGGGAAATCTGCCCCTCCTTCTGGGCTGGGTTCCTTCCCTTCCCTTCCCTTCCCAGCCCTGCCCCACCAGTGTAGGTTCTTTGCCATCACTAACCTGCTGTGGTTTCTTGGTTCTAAAAGTCTCCCTCCATCCTGCCTCCCTCTGGCCATCCTGCTTTCTGTGCCCGCCACACTGCTCACAGGGTTATCCTTCTGGCTTCTGCTGCCACCCTCCAGCCTGCCCCATTGCTGCCCTGAATGCTCCCCTGTCTCAAAGGACCTGTGCACTCTTTGTCTGTCCTTGTGTTCCTCCCTGGGCCTCAGCTGTCCTTCAGTGTTGATCTCTTCTGTGGGCAGCCTCACCACTCCTGGGTCTTCGGCCCCTACCTCTGAGGTGCTATGTCGTGTCTGGATTCTAGCCCTGGGTCCACTCCTGGCTAGCTGTATGACCTAGAACACCAGGAGCTTAGGACGCTGTGACACTGTGGGAACTGTTTTGTAACACTAGCCTCACTGCCACCAACACTGAGCCCAGCTGGCTATCCAGCAGGACCTGCCTGAGCTCTGGACCTGCCAGTCTGATGCTTTCTGGGTATCTCCTCTATGCCTCTCCCCAACCCCCACCTTCCACCCTAGGAATCCTTGTCTGTCCTAAATTTTGTGCAACCTATCACCATCCCTGTCTGCTCCCATCACTCTCTGCTCTTCACCCTACTGGCAGAGGCCTGGCGCCCTCTGGCCCCTGACACTTGCCTTCTCTACTTTTGGCTGCCTGAGTCTCTTTGCTACATCCACAGTGACCACAGAGTCATGGCCTGTTTTGTCGAAAACCAAGTTATTTGCTCATTTCTTATGTTTGATGTGCTCTGATGGCGTCATGGCCTGGGTTCTTTCCCATAATCTTTAACTACTATAAAGCTATAACCTGACACTCTGTGAGGTTTCCCTCTCTGTCCATTTCACAGGCCACCCTCTCCCCTGGTTAGTTACTGTCATAGCCTTAGTGAGGTTGATATGGTGTTCGGGACAAAGGGCTTCCAAACCCCTTTTGTCACTGTTGACTGTGAGCACACAGAGGTGGGCCTACATTTGTCTGAGGCACTGGCAGCTTTGCAAAGTGGTCTTCAGCCCCTCTCCTAAAGTGCTTGATGCTCACGGCCATTTTATCTACAGAAGTGATGCCTTCCTTGGCCCAGCAGTGGGTTACGGGTGGTGTGGACACTTGAACACACAAGGTGTGGCTTGGAGGTGGTGGTGGCACCAGGGAAGGAGTCAAAGAGCTCTTTTATTTTTTTTGGGGGGGGCACAATCATACATTTATTGTCCAGCCAGGCCTTCCCACCCTGAAGGGCAGCAGACAGAGGCAGGGCTTCAGGTGTCTGTGTATGTTGGACCGGTGGAGTTCTTTGTGGGATGAAGGTCACAGTTGGGGCTGGGGATAGGAAGAAAGTTGAGGATGGGGTGGCAGACATGTCTGTACCTCCCTCCTTCTCACTTATATCTTCAATAGGTTCACCATCGTCCTCAGGGTGAACTCTGACATCCTCTGCCAGCCAGCAGGTCCTGGGATGCTCCCTTTATATGTGCTGTCCCCCCTGTGTAGAGTACTGTTCTATCTTGTCACCTGGCTCAGCCCTTCTTATCTGTTCCATCTTAGCCGGGCATCATTTCTTCCCATTCCCCAGGACTTCTCCACACCCATATATTTCTCTCAGGTTCAGTGTTCTTGACTTTGTTCACAATCTGCCTTCTCCAGACCCAAGATGCTCCCTCTTCTGACTCAGGGCTCCCAAAACCTTGTTTCCTCCCCAATGCTGCCTGCAAGTCCCCCTGAGGTCTTTCTTACCAGTCCTTCTACTCCTGTGTCCTCAGCTTCTCAGCCGATTCAGAGCTAGAAAAGGAGCAGTGGCTGGAGGCCATGCAGGGAGCCATTGCTGAGGCCTTGTCCACCTCGGAAGTGGCTGAGCGCATCTGGGCTGCGGCCCCCAACAGGTTCTGTGCTGACTGCGGGGCTGCCCAGCCTGACTGGGCCTCCATCAATCTCTGCGTTGTCATCTGCAAGCGATGTGCAGGTGTGTGTGCTGGGGCTCTGGGAAGAGGCAGATGGGTCTGTTAGGTGGATGGCAGGCAACCTGTCTGGCAGGCAGTGTTGGAGCCACAGTTCCTGAAGTTGCTCTGGGTGCTGAGCCACTCCTGCTGGGATTGGTCTTCAGTCAGTCGTGAATGGCACAAAGAGGGAAAATGGGTTGTTCAGGGCTACCTGGCAAGTAAGTGAGCCAGGACTCAAGCCCAGGTCTGTTGGGGTCTCCTCCAAGGGAGAGGTTGCTCTGAGTGGGGCTCCACACACAGAGGGAGGAGCTGGTGTTTTGTCCAGGGGACCCAGGGATGTGGTCAGCTTTGTGGGCTAGACTCTGTGTGGTGGGTGGAAGCTGAGGTTGGGCTGCTGCAGGATCCAGGAGCAAGAAGAGGAGGAAGCGCTGAGCCTTCTGGGGCTGTTTGGGATTTATGGTGTAAATGTCTGGATGATGGATCTGCTGAGGAGGGTGGAATGAAAGAGGGTGGAGCCCAAGATGTATTTATCTATTACCCTAAGTGATCAGGGGTCTGGCCTTTGCCATACCTGTGCTAACTGCAAGTATGAGGCACTCACGGGAGCCGACAGTGTTCAGGTGGTGGTTTTGGGTGGCTGCAGGTAAGAATCCCCTCAGGTGGGGATCTAGGAGAAAGGACGGGCATAGGGAAGTCACTGAGCTCAGGAAAGAACTCTGAGACCTGTGTGACTTCCAGGGCAGATGTTCAGGGGCTTGGGGTCATGAGGTCTGGGTGCAGGATAGTGGCAACCCAGCTGGGGACCAGATGAGGAGGTATCAACTCATGGAGGTGATAAGCTGAATGGGGTAGAGGTGCTCAGTGGGAGGTTGCGCAGGGATGTGGGGCCAAGGCCAGAACCAGGCAGTGCCAGGCACTCCTAGTGCCTCCAGCACCCCTCCCTGCTCCTGGGGTCCATCCTGGGACTTGTAGCTGAACCATGCTTAATTCCCTCCAGGCCCAACCCCTTCCCTCTGCTTTCATCCCACAGAGAATTATTAGGCACTAATAATGTACACAGTAATAACGTCCTGGGTGCCAAGGACAGAGCCTCCAGCAGGTGGTCAGGGTTCCTGCTCAAATCCAACTGGCATTCCAGTCAGACAGGAAGAAATGCAGGAACCAAAGTACCGGTTTGTTCTAGAAAGAGAATGTGCTGTTGGGAGCCCTCTCTGAGGAGGTGACATGTCAGCTGAGTCCTGAATGACAGGAAGTGGCAGCCATGGGGAGATGGGGGAGAGAGTCCAGGCAGAAAGCTGGGGTTGGAGGGGAATGAGGTAAGGAATTTACATGTAATTCTGGGGAGCAGCCAGTTGTTGTAAAGCAGGATTTACAGTGAGAGGATTTGCATTTTAAAGCAATCAGCTGGCAGGGCAAGTGGAAAGTGGCCTGCAGGGGCCCAATGTGGCATAGGGAGCCCAGGTAAGGATTAGGGGGTGGGGACCCCTCGGTGCTCTAGTGTGGGGAACAGGGGTGCACACCAGGTTCCAAAGCTGGGCTGGAAATGGAGCTGCAGGCCTAGCCCCTGGGGCCTGCCTGTGAACCCTGGATGGGCTCTAGAGGCGGCTTAGTGCTCATGGGAGGGGCAGGCCTCAGGTGACCAATCCGGCCCTTGTCCGCAGGGGAGCACCGGGGCCTGGGTGCTGGTGTGTCCAAGGTGCGGAGCCTGAAGATGGACAGGAAGGTGTGGACGGAAACACTGATTGAGGTGGGGATGTCCCCCATCCACCATGCTTGCTGCTGATAACCATGAGCTTTGCTCCTCTCAGCTGCTCCTGGAGCTCTCAGCCTCCTTCCATCTCTCTGAACCCAATGCTGTGGAGCTGGGAAGATCTTTGTGATAATCTAGTAGGTGGGGATTTTGGAAAAGCCAACTTCTGGCAAAGTCAGCAAACTAGCCAGTGAGTTAAACATGTTTTTTTTTTTATAGTTCAAGGGATGTTTAAAAAAAAAAAAAGGAAGAAGTTGTAACAGAGCAAAGCCTAAACTATTTACTATTTGGTCTTCTGATCTAGTTTAGCTGTCATCCTATTATACAGATGTGGAAACTGAGGCCCTGGACTGGGTTATAATCTACCCGGGATTACCCAGTAAATCCATATTGACCACCCAGCCCTGCCCCTTTCATCTCCTTCCTGGCCAACCTGGGGCCTTCTCCTCCACTATGCACGTCCCTCAGAGCTTCTTGCCTCTCCGATCACCTGAATTTATATGCATAGTGGGTGCGAGATGCTTGTTTTGGGCATGCAAGTTCATGTACATTTACACCTGTGCGCTTGAACGTCCCGGGTTCCCTGGGAACCTGCAGCAGGAAGCTGGGACCAGGGAACTACCACACAGGGACTTCCTGGTAGCCCCAGCCAAGCTGGGGACTCCAGAGCAATTTAGGTGTCACATTCATATTTATGTGCATTTGGCACATAAATGCTAAGGACTTTGCACTTGTTAATTAATTGACTTTCAAAACAATCCTGTGTTAGGATTAAAATACCCAGTATACAGATAAGGACATTGAGTTCCTGGGAGAGAAAATAACTTGTTGAAGCCCCAGAGTGAGTCATTAGTGGCAGCAACTGTTCCTGCTTTATTCTCTGCTGCGACTCTAGCATCCCACTTAGGACATAACAGAGGGGAGTGGGGAGCCCAGGAAATGGCTGTGAAATGAATAATGAATAGAAGGAACTACTTCCCAGAATGCCACACCCCTGCCCTCTTCCAGAAACATCCCCACTCCTCTTGTCTGGAGAGGGATGTCAGGGACAGAAATATTTCCAAAATGTCTGTCCACCCCATTGGCTGACAGGTTAGATACCACTCCTTGCTTTGACAGTCTCAGGAATGCAGTGTTCCAGATGTGGGGCTGGGTGGGGCAACAGCAAGGCCCCCGGGGACCAGGCGTGAGGTCTGAGGCGCCCACCTGTCAGACTGTCTGCCTCTTGTCCTGTCACTGCGCCAAGGAACTGGGCTCAGAGCCCAAGGCTGGGTGGGGGAGCACCATGGTCCCCAGCAGGCCATGCTCCTCACTTCCCATTTGGGGAAGTGGATGGGTGGCCTGGCTTGACAAGCCCCTTGCCTGACAATCTGAGGACCTTCCAGATGTCGGCTGCCCTTCTGACTTCTTGTCCACACTCACAGCTCTTCTTACAGCTGGGCAATGGTGCTGGAAACCGCTTTTGGGCAGCCAACGTGCCCCCCAGCGAAGCCCTGCAGCCTAGTAGCAGCCCTGGTGCCCGGCGGCACCACCTGGAGGCCAAGTACAGGGAGGGCAAGTACCGCCGCTACCACCCACTCTTTGGCAACCAGGAGGAGCTGGACAAGGTCAGGGCACTGTACCTCTGGGCCCCTGAGATGTCTCCTTGTCCCTGCATTCTCAGGTCCCTCAAGACCACTCCCTTTCTTCCTATGGCCTCATTCCTCTATTTCAACCAATTTCTTCCACCAGCTCAGAGCAATAAGTTGGCATATGGGGAAACTGAGGACTGGAGGGCAGTAGAGCCTCCCTAAGGAAAGTTACGGTGATGCAGGGAGGAGCCAGGCCTGGCGCTTGGGTCAGTGCCATGTCCCAGCATCTGTCTGCCTCCCTCCTGATTCTCCCCACCCCATCCTGTTCCTTCTGAATCCTGCCAAAAGGAGTGAACTTGATGGGGATGCTATTTCCTGTCGGGCTCATGAAAAACAGCTGGACTGTGCAGAGCCACCCCTATCCACACCCCACTCAAGAAGAGGCCCTGATGGGCCGGGAGCCTGATCTGGCTCTGCCTGAGCAGGAGGCAGGTCACTGTGAGGCAGGGGGATGCCATTTGTAACCTTTGGCTGGCCCTCAGCTCCTCCCCATCTGGGCAGGCTCAGTCCAGCTCTAGAAGCCCAGTGGGAACCAGGCCCCCACCTCCCAGGGACCCAGGCGTCCTGCCCCCAGCCCAGCCCAGTCTGGCCTGTGAGCCAGGAGGGTGGCGGCTCCCATTGGTTGGGAGGGCTGGGCAGGCGGTGAGGAATTCAAATGTGGGAGGAATTAGCTACAAAGCCCCCCTCTGCCCCGCCACAAGACAAGAGAGTGCCTGAGATCCTCCAGGGGCTCGAAGGCTGACTATCAGCTGTGTGCCCAGGGGCTGCCACAGGGTGAGGCCTGGGCAGCTGGAACCTCTGCTAGGTGAACCCTACCCAGCCACCCTCCCTTGGCCTTTCTCCCCCTCTTTGCTGTCGTTCTTCCACCCCATTCTCTTTCAGTCTGAGGATGAGCTCCCAAACCCGGGTGGCTCTTTCCTCTTCCTTTCTTGCACACCTCTATCCCTGCTAGCTCCCCACTCCCTGCTTGGGTTGACCCTCTCCCTTTCTCCAGGCCCTGTGTGCTGCAGTCACCACCACGGACCTGGCTGAGACCCAGGCGCTCCTGGGTTGTGGGGCTGGGGTCAGCTGCTTCTCAGGGGACCCAGAGGCCCCCACACCCCTGGCTCTTGCCGAACAGGCCGGGCAGACCTTGCAGATGGAATTCCTTCGGAACAACCAGACTACGGGTGAGCAACCAGTGGGACTGTCCTCCTCGGTGGCTGGGGAGCCCTGTTGACAGGGTCTAACCCTTTTAAGGGGTGCAGGGTGGGGTCCCCAGGGGCTGTGCATTGCTTTGGGAGGCTTGATTTTCAGGCCACTCCTCTAGCTTGGATTACCACTCCTTGAGAGGTGCTGGAGCAACAGTATATGACTCAAGGCAGGTTTGGGTTTGTGTGTCAGGTCCCACTCGTGCTTCACAGTCTCCATGACTGTGTCTGTGGGGGCCCCTTCCTGGCTTGCAGCATGGGTCCCTCGGGGTGGCATCTGTGTGCTGGGGTATATGCATCTTGGCGCTGCTCTGAGCTGCTTCCTCACACCAAGGGACCTTGAGGGCTTTGGGTTTGTGCATGCATAGTGGATCTGTGGCTGTGTAGGGTGGTGGTGCGTTTCTCCCTGTGTGTGACTACACAGCAGCTCTGTCCTCTGCTCTGTCTGGGTGTAGCCCAGTCACAGACCTGGGCTGGATCCCATTTGGCTCCCAGTCTTGGAGTGGGTGAGGAGGGGGCTGTCATGGGGCGGGTGAGCAGTGCGGTCGTGGCCCAGGCCTGGCCTTTGGGGCCACATCCTTGGGCTGAGGGTGGAGCTCAGTGGCTGGGGCTCTGGGCTCAGGGCCATTAGTGGGTGGGGTGTGCTGGGCTGGAGAGAGCCCAGGTGTCCAGAGAGGCTCAAGAGACCACCCAGCTGGCTTGGGCTTGGGGGTGGGGAGAGAGGACTCAAGCGCTGACCGCTGGGAACAAGGCTAGAGCCAGGCTACTTTGCTGGACTTCGCGCAGTTTGGGACAGACCTCTCTCCAGGGATTGTTGTTGAGTTGGCCCAAAGCCCCCCAGTTCCAGTGTGCCTGGCCTTGCACCTCCAACAGGGAGCACAGGGTGGGCAGGGCGCTGGGAAGTCTTGCTGGGAGGGGAGGCCTTGGGAATGGAATGGAATTCCCCCAGGTGGGCAGAGGTGGAAGAATGGCTTGTGCAAAACCCAGGAGGGGGTGAGAACCCGAGGGACTGAGGAGCTAGGGCTGGAACTTGAACATGAGCCCCAGTGCCCAGCCCTGTTAGGATTAAGGTGGGGGCAGCCAGCATGAGCAACCATTGTTTCTCCCACTCCAAAGAGGTCCCTCGGCTGGACTCACTGAAACCTCTGGAAAAGCACTACTCAGTTGTCCTGCCAACTGTGAGCCACAGTGGCTTCCTCTACAAGACTGCTTCCGCTGTCAAGCCGCTGCAGGACCGCCGCGCCCGGGAAGGTGGGTATGCTACACCACACCCTGGCCCATGCATTCTGGCATGGCTACAGGGCCAGGAAGCTAGGGCTGACCAGGATGGTGGAACCAGGAGGGTGCTAGGTAGATTCTGGCAGAACCGCCCAGAAGACTTCCTGGATGTGGTCTCTTGTACACAGTAGGTACTTAATAAATGAGCTCATTGGGCTGGGGATGAGACATGGCACTGTAGAACAGTCACTGCCAGAGCCTCCCGGAGACCTTGTCAGGTGTGGCTCCATCTGTCCCATGGATGGTGGACGTTTGAGGGCTGAACTTGAGGCTCCATCCCTCTCTGATCCCTGACTCTGGTACAACCTGAAGTCTTCACCATACTCCCCAAGAGCATGCAGAGTCAGCCACCCTTACCTTGTAGACCCCTCTCACCTCGCTCACTCTGCCCCAGCTCTGTGTCCTCCTCACTACTTCCCAGATGCACCAGATTCCTTCCTACCAGGACCCCCGCATTCATTTGCTGTTCCCTTTGCTCTAAATGCTTTTCTCACATATCTGCATGGTCAGTCACTTCAATCCGGTCTCCAGTTTAATGTCACATCTGCAGAGATGTCATCCCTAACCGCCTTGTCCAAAGCAGTGTCTCCCATCTCTCCCTTAACCCTGCTTTTTCTTCCACCACTCATCTGATGTCTTTTTCATTTAATTTTTTTTTTGGAGACAATGTCAGGCTGGTCTTGAATTTCTGGATTCAAGAGATCCTCCGGTCTTGGCCTCCTGAACAGCCCACCTGGCTCAGTAGTCTTCCAGTGTGTACATCTATACATGTGGCACCATTGTAGCCCCATACCTGGCAAATGCTCTAGGGAACTGAGACAGGGCTGCACCTCTGGAGGGAGCACTCTCTTGGGGACAGGCTCAGAGGGCAAATATCCCTCTGAGACAGGGCCCTCGTAGACAGGGTGAGAGACAGAGCCTGCTGTGGGGAACATTGAGGCTGTTGCTCACAACATCTCTCAGCACCTCCTGTATGAAGCACCCCAGGATGAAGCCCTCCAACTCCAAAAGGAAGTCCTTTGGAACTCTGTGCTGCTCACGATCTCACTGCCCCTGATCTACCTCCCTCTGCCTAATAATGTCATTTATGTAACTGCCTGAGTCATCCTTTTTACCCTGGGTGCCAGGAAGCTCTGAGCCACTGGGAAACTCACTGCTGTGAGTGATACAAGCTTGCATGACCTCGATGCTCAGTTCTCTCTGCCACCTTTCCTGGTCCAGATTCCTGTTTCTGCTTGCTGTGGGACCTTGTGGTCTTCTCAGAGGCAGGGTGGAGAATGATGGGTGCTTTGGCAGAGGAGGGTGGGCACCGAAGCTTCCAGTGGTATTTGTGCTGTGGGTAGAGCACAGAAGCTGGAAGTGGCCAAAGAGGCAGTTGGGGCACACCCAGCGGGGCTTTTAAAGCCAGGTTGAGGGGCACGGACTCTTCTGAGGATAAGGCGTAGCCATGGTTGGGGTTGAGCAGAGGAAGGACAGAGACTGATTTTGACTTGATCCCTCTTGGGTCTTGGAAGAGGCCAGGCTGGAGGAGAGGAGACTAATGAAGAGGTTACTGCAGAGGTCTGGGGAAGAGGATGAGGCATGTGCTGGGCTGGGGCAGTGGGGTGCAGAGAGGTGAATGAACTGGGGTAACTTGTGAGTTAGAATGAGGAGGATGTGGGGAGGGGGCTCCCTCATTGCTGTCCTACTCAACTTATCCCCAGAGTTCAGCCGACGCTGGTGTGTCCTTAGCGACGGGGTGCTGAGCTACTATGAGAATGAGCGGGCAGTGACGCCCAACGGGGAGATTCGGGCCAGCGAGATGGTGTGCCTGGCAGTCCCCCCTCCTGACACCCATGGGTGAGCACCCCGGCCAGAATCACAGACTGTTGGCGCTGTGAGGTCCAACTTCTGACTGGGGACATGGAAACCAGCCCAGAGATAGGCAAGACCTGCCTAGAGTCACAGCAAATTGGGACCATATAAACACTGACCCAGGTTTCTTAAGGCCCCCGCCCAAGGCTTTGCTGCCACCCACCGCTTATGGAGCCAGGGGAAGGGGAAGGGAAAGTGGGCAGAGAATAGTAGTTGGTGGGGGGCAGGGCTGGACAAGGTTGGTGAGCACTGGCCTATGTATTTGCAGCTTTGAACACACCTTTGAGGTGTACACAGAGGGAGAACGGCTGTACCTGTTTGGGCTGGAGAGTGTGGAGCTGGCTCATGAGTGGGTCAAGTGCATTGCCAAGGTGGGCCTGGGTTAGCAAGGCAGGTGTCTGACAGGCAGGGTGGGACCTCCTGGCTGATCCCATGAAGATTAGCTCCCCCATCTCTGGTAGAGCAGGAGCTGAGAGGAGGGCAGCAGACACAGGGCAGGCCTCTCAGGCCAAGGGCCTAATATAGACTGCAGCCTTTCCCTTGGGGACAGGTCAGGAGATGTCTCAATCCCGCAGCAGAAAAACTGAGGGCCTGGCACAATATTGAATTTGAGTAGCAGTTAGAGCCAGTTTAGGATGGACATCTGCCTCCAGTGGGGTGAGCTCCTTGTCCCTGGAGGTGTGTAAGCAGAGATTGGAGGGAAGAGGCAGGGAGGCTACAGAGAGCTCTACTCTTTAGATCAGAGCCAGGTGTTCTTCCAGCACAGGCCTGTGATTCTTCCTCACTCACTCGCCTGCTAGTGAGTTGTCTCTGCCTCCTGAGGATTAGTGCTTGGAGCCGTGTGGGCCCGGATGAATCAGTCTTGGTTCTGGCTCTTCAGTAGCTCCCTGTGGGTGGAAGAGACAGATGGGGTCCAGACTGCAATAGTGTAGTCAGTGCTACAACAGATGACCAGAATGTTTGATAACTGGGGAGACCAGAGAAGGCACATCCCAGTTGGTGTCTGGGAAGACCACAGGGGAGGGCATCTCTGAGGGGTAGGAAGGAGGGTGGGTCATGATACCAAAGTTTGGTCACTGTGCTGGGTGCTGCCCTGGGGAAGCGAAGAGGAGGCAGGTGGGAAGAGGGCCTTGCCCACAAGCCAAGGAGCTGGGGTATCCTGGGCAGGCAGTGCTATTGGCTCATGCATTCTCTTCCTGCCTTCTCCCCCATCAGGCATTTGTGCCTCCTCTGGCTGAGGACCTGCTGGCTCGGAATTTTGAGCGGCTTGGGCGCCTACCGTACAAAGCTGGCCTGAGCCTCCAGCGGGCCCAGGAGGGCTGGTTTGCCCTGACTGGCTCCGAGCTCCATGTTGTCTTCCCAGAAGGGCCCTGTGATGAGCCTCTGCAGCTCCGGAGACTGCAGGAGCTTTGTGCGTGGACTCAGACCTGGACTCCCAACCTCCAGGGCACCCTATCCTGGCCCCCAGTCCCCAGCCCCTGCCCTGAAGTCTGAGTTCTATCCTGGCCTAGCTAGAAGAAGCCAGCCTGCTCTCCCATATTCTCTCCTGTCCTCGGGGTGCATCCCAGTAACCTTCTAGGTTGGTGGGTGGATCCCGAGGGTGTGTGCCCAGAGAACCTCAGAAGGGAGCAGGTTGGGGATCATGAACAAGGCCTGGGCTTTACCTTGACTGGCCCCTCCACAGCCATCCAGGGGGACAGCGAGAACCAGGTGCTAGTGCTGGTGGAGCGAAGGAGGTGAGCCATGGCTTCCCTGAGGGGCTCCGAGAAGCCTGGGGCAGTCTGACACACCAAGGGGGAGGTATGACAGGGAGATAGACAGAGATGGAACAGTGACTATCCCTGCTTCAGGACGCTGTACATCCAAGGGGAACGGCGGCTGGACTTCATGGGCTGGCTGGGGGCCATCCAGAAAGCAGCAGCTAGCTTGGGGGACACACTGTCAGAGCAGCAGCTTGGAGACTCGGACATTCCTGTGATTGTGTACCGCTGTGTGGACTACATCACCCAGTGTGGTGAGCCCCCACCCCATGGCCCAGGCTGTGCTCCTGTCAGAGAGACACCCAGCTCCCTGTGCCCAGGTTCCCTCTGTAAGTAGCTGCGTGGCGCTTTCCAGGCCTGACCTCTGAGGGCATCTACCGCAAGTGTGGGCAGACATCAAAGACACAGAGGCTCTTGGAGAGCCTGAGGCAGGACGCACGCTCTGTGCACCTCAAGGAGGGTGAGCAGCACGTGGACGACGTCTCCTCTGCACTCAAACGCTTCCTGCGTGACCTGCCGGATGGGCTCTTCACTCGTGCTCAGCGCCTAGCCTGGCTGGAGGCCTCAGGTGGGCCCTGCAGCCCATGGCCAGCCTTGTCCATTCTATGTCAGGATTTCCCTAGTCCCCGTAGTACTTTTGGACTAGACATGCCCCTGCCAACAGCTCTGGCTCCCCTGCCTCCTCTGCTTTTCAGTCCCCTTGTCACTGTGTACAGAGCCAGGGTCCCTCGGAGGCAGAGAGCTCCTTATCTTTGCGCTTGTCCTGCTTTGACTTGGAGGGTGCAAGGAATGCAATCGCCCAGCATGAGAGGCAGAACTGCTAGGAGGGTGGGGTGGGGAGGTGGTGACACGTTTCTGATCTGCTTCATCTTCCCCCGCCCCCCAGAGATTGAGGATGAGGAGAAGAAGGTCTCCAGATACCGAGAGCTCCTGGTGCATCTGCCCCCTGTCAACCGGGCCACAGTGAAGGCCCTTATCAGCCATCTATACTGGTGAGGGGCCATACTGGTGCTAGGCTTTCGGAGAATGAGGTGGAGAAGACTGTACTCCCAGTCTGCCCGACTGCCCTCCCCTGGGAACCAGCTAGGCTTGTGGACTGAGTCATGACTGTGATCTACCCTAATCATGGTTGCAGGGTGGAAGAGGAGGGGGTTTTTCAGCTTTGGGCCAGGGTTCTCTGGCCAGATATCCTAGCTCCCCAGCCCTACTCCTTGCCAGCATCCGAGACATGTCCCCTTCTTCTCTTAGGTAGGATTCTACTCTGACCAGCATCTTCCTTGGTCTCACTCTCATGGCCAGTCTTGGACCTGCTGGGCATTGGGAAAAAGGGCTGGGAACACTCTGAATTGGACCCCTTGTTCATGGCCTCCCTCCCCTCCTCAGTGTCCAGTGCTTCTCAGACACGAACCAGATGAACACTCACAACCTGGCTATTGTGTTCGGGCCCACGCTCTTCCAGACAGATGGGCAGGACTACAAGGCCGGCCGGGTGGTAGAAGACCTCATTAGCCATTATGTGGTGGTGTTCAGTGTGCGTCCCAGCCAGGGGGCCGGGGAGGGCAGGGTTGAGCCTCTCAGATGGCAGTGACCGTCTGCCTCTTCCCCTTGCCCTTTCAAGGTGGACGAATTGGAGCTAAAGAAGCAACGGGAGGAGGTTACTGCCATTGTGAAGATGCGAGTGGCTGGCACTGCTAGTGGGACCCAGGTGGAGGCTGGGGTCTGGGTGGGACTCAGGTTGGCTGCCTGCACCTACTCCCAGACCTCCAGCCAAGCTCTGTCTTTCTGCAGCATGCAGGTGACTTCATCTGCACTGTGTACCTAGAGGAGAAGAAGGCAGAGACTGAGCAGCATGTCAAGGTGGGAGCTAGGGACCTAGAAGCCAAGAGATCTGTAGAGTGAGGCTGGGCAAGTAGCAGACCCAGATGACTGGGGGAGCAGGGCTTCCATCCCAAGAAGAGGCCACTTTGGGACTGTTACCTGGCTAGTGCCTTCGGAAACCTCAAAGACACCACTCTGCATCCCAGGACTCAGAGGACCCCGAGGGGTGGGTTTGGGTCATGAGTCACACAGCAAGGCTGTGGTAGGGCTCGGGGCCAGGGCAGGCTGAGTTTTCCTTGTCCCCCACAGATTCCAGCATCTATGACAGCAGAGGAGCTTACCCTGGAGATCCTGGACCGCCGCAATGTGAACATCAGGGAGAAGGACTATTGGACTTGCTTTGAGGTCAATGAGAAGGAGGAAGCAGGTGGGCGGCCACTAGGACTCGTCAGGGTGTGGGGTAGCCTGTCTCATCTGGGTTGCAGCCCCAGTCTGTCCTCCCGTCCTCTGCAGTGTGGGGACCAGGGTAGTGAAAAGGGCATTGGATGACATTTGTTTCTCATTGACATTTGTTGTCACACTGATAAAACTGTGGTCTCAGAGGTGATGGTGACAAGGAGCTCTCAGGAGTTGAGGTGATGTCTGTAGTGTGGTTGTTAGGAGGGACAGGGAAGGGGGTAGATGATGCCAGCTGTGACAGTGCTTTCCCAGGTATTAGTGAGAATGGTGTTGCTTGCAGAGGTGACGATGCCGAATTCTACAATGGGACTATGGTGACATCATTCTTGGTGGTGAAGGGGTGATGATCACGCAAGCAGGATGGCATGGTGGGAGTGGGGTGGTGGCGTAGGTAAGGAGGTTTTCATGGTGATATAGATGGCCTGTGGTGGTGAAGGGTGGTCCTGACATCAGCAGAGGTGAAGGGTGATCTTTGGATTGCTGGAAGGTTATGTGCTCTACTGTTACTTGTTGACTGCCAGGCAGTGAGTTGAGGAGCCAGGCGTACTGTCCCTGTCCTCGTGAGGTACTGTCCCTATCCTCATGAGGTTCTGTTTGGTAAGGGATGGAGACAGTAATCTTGCAATCACACTGAGAAATGGACAACCACAGCTGTGTTAACTGTTGTGAAGGAAAGGCACAGTGCCACAAGAGCTTATGGCAGGGTCTCTGGCTTTGGATTCCCTGAGCCAGATGTGGAATAAGAATAAGGGGTATTTGATGGGAAAAGTACTCCCAAGCAATGGTTGTAGCACAGGCAAAGCCCTGGCTGGGACTGGAGGAAGCAGCTACACAGGGCCTGACAGCAGTGCAAGGCCATTGAAGGTTTATTTACGGGGATTTGAAAGGCTGCTGCTTGTTGCTGGGTGGGGAGAAGCAAGGCAAGAAAGTTACAGCACATGCTGAGGCCACTTTGGAGGCCCTGGTATTAGTCCAAGGTGAAGTTGGACAGGGTAGAGCAGTGGAGAGGGACAAATTAGAGATTTGATATGGGGAGGACAGAGGGAGCAGGGAGTGTTTCTGGCTAGAGTGGCCTGGTCAGTGGTAGTGCCATTGTTTTCCCTAATGGTGAACATGGACTTGGTTTTGGTCACACCCAGGTGAGTCAAGTCAGAAGCTTGGTTATGGCAAGGGTGGTCATGATGGTGGTGTGTCATGGCACTAGTGGGCAGTGGGATAAACAAAGATGTGTAGATAATGTATGCCCATGTGCTGGCCCTTGGTGGTATCAGGCCATGTGGTCCCAGTGACATGGTGTGACCTCTCCCCAGAGCGGCCCCTGCACTTTGCGGAGAAGGTGCTGCCCATCCTGCATGGACTAGGCATGGACAGCTACCTGGTGGTGAAGAAGCACCAGTCCATGGAGGCCATGCTGCTGTACCTGGGTAGGTGGTGCTACAGCAGGTACAGGGAGGGTGGTACTTCCATCCAGAGCCAGGATAGTACCAAGAAGCAGCAGCTCAGGTGCAGGATACCAGGTGGGCAGGCTTTCATGGAAACTGGGGCAGGGTGGGGCAGTTTCCTTCATCTGGGGACTTGGCCCCCAGGCATCTGTGGACATGAGTGGGGGGCTTGGCACAGCCCATGCCCACTGCAGTCCTCTTCTAGCCAGCCGTGTGGGTGACACCAAGCATGGCATGATGAAGTTCCGTGAGGACCGCAGCCTCCTGGGTCTGGGACTGCCCTCGGGTGGCTTCCATGATCGCTACTTTATCCTCAACAGCAGCTGCCTGCGGCTCTACAAAGAGGTCCGGGTAAGTGGCCCCATGGATTCTGACCTGAGATGAGCACTTGCACCCTGAATGCTCAGACACCCCTGTACAAGCTTTCCCCTTGTCTGCAAGAGGGAGTGTCCCATCTCAGAGTCCTGGGACTGCACGGTGGTTGGGGAGAGCTGTGGACATCCAGGGACCCTCCTGCTATGGCTGTGGGACCCATTTTACTGTGCTTTGTAACCCCAATAAGCCTTGGTATCTGGATGCCATCACGTCACACACGTGTTCTATTTACTTGTGCCTGTGGTTTGTCACGACACACATAAGATCATGCTACATGGTGACACCCCCCTGCCTGGTCATTTCCAAGATCAAAGCCTTCCCAGCTCACTCTCCATGTCCACCCTGTCCATGAGCTGGGTTCTCCCAGACCAGACTCCTTGGCACCCTCCGTCTTCTGTATATATGCCGTTCCCTACCCACACTGCACACACTATCTGGCTCTAGACCTGGGACGACACCTTCCATAACCCTGATCCTCTATCAAACAGAGCCAGAGGCCATGGAGCGGGGCCCCTGAGACCGTGAGTAGTTGTGGGTTGGCTGCCAGCTGCCTTGTCTTACACCACCTGGGGGCCAGGCGAGCTGGGTGGGAATATGGGGACACATCAGGGCTCTTGGCTCTCTCCAGACATGGTTTCCTGCCCTCTTGCCAGTGAGCACTGACCCCCACCCTGGAGCCTATAGCCTGGGTTCCAGCCTTCATCCCTAACCCTGCCCCAGAGTCCTCTTCTTAAGACAGGGTTCCATATCAGTACAATACTAAAATTTTCCATAGGACTCAGGAAAGAAGTTATAGAGTCAGTAATGCAGACCCCAAGGTTTGAAGTAGGACTCTGATTCTCATCTCCCGTCACCCTTGGTGCTGCCTTCTGTCCAACCCTAGAGATAGTCCCAGAATTATCAGAATGTCCTTGCCTGATCCTAAAGTGCAGGGGTGGATGAGAGAGGCTGTGGGACTTTCCCCACTGGGATGGGAGTACCTGCTTGGCTGCCCTGGCTCTCTAGCAGATACTTCTGTCTGGAAGAAGGCCCTCACTCAGGTTCAGCTGAGAATTGCCTCAGGTGTTCCTGTGCATTCCAGCTATGTTTAGAGGGCCACAGAGCATAGATGCCCTTCAGAGACAAGCAGCAAAGACATGGTTCCAAGCCCAGTGGTCTAGCCTGAGCTCCCACAGCTGCTCCGCCAGGGTCTTCCTGCTCCTTGCATCTCTTGAGGACATCTGGACAGTCCTGGTAGCTCTGGTGGAGGCATAACAGATGGACCAGGACACTCACCTCCTTTTATTTTCATGTTACTCCTCTGTTAATGCAGCTTGGTCTCCGAGGAGCACCACCCCCACTTCTCTTTGTCTCCCTCTGTGATTGCATCCTCACTTCTGAGCCTGTCTACCCTCCAGTCCATCCACCATGGTTCTGGGATGTTATCTCACCCTCCCTTTAGCATGCTTAGTTAGCCCCATGGAGCAGAGCAAGCCCATCAGTGTGGGCAGAAGGGAGGGAAGGTGATTCAGGCACTGGAAAGGCAGCTGCTGGACATGGAGGGGAGAAAGGTGGAGTGCTAGAAAAGGGGACAGATCTAATGTTTATGGAGCCAGCCTTGGTGCTCAGCCCTTCATGCTTCAAGAAGTATAACCCACACTTCTGTTCTGTGAGGAGGGTATTATCCTCTTCACAGGGGAGAAAACAAGCTTTCAGCAACTTTCCCGAGGCTACTTGGTGGTAGAAAGAGATCGAACTCAGTTTTGTTGGTGTCAGAACGCAGGCTTTGTGTTCCTGGAAGTTTAGGTGCTCAACGATGTGGTGAGGAGGACAGTGGGCACAGGTGGGCGGTGCTTTCTTCACCCCACTGACGACAATGCCTCTGGCCTGGCAGAGCCCAGAACCATAAGTGGCTTGGCCATTGAGGTGTTCATAATCCTGGTGTTTATTGGTTCATGGAACAGCAGGACAAAATACATGCAATTAGAATGATCCCAGGCAAGTCAGACTGTGTGGGCACTCACGCCCATCTTGGGGGTCTCCCATTAGAGGTACTGGGAAAGGGACATTCTTAAAAGAGCTTGGTTTTAGCAGAGGCCCTTGAGCGTCGAGGGTGAACTTCATTCTCTGTTCTTGACCTTGTAGCTTGGAGGTGCCAGAAACATGAGCTGTTTAGTTAGAAGTGAAGTCCTTGTGGGATTTCTTCTCAAAAGGTGATATATTGACTGATGCTTTCCCTCCTCCAGAACCCTGTAGCCTTCCTGCCATCCACACATACACTATGCATACCAGTCCCCAGGAAGTAAGACCTGAGAGTTGTGTTTTCAGATGCTCTGAGAGCCACAGTGTAGTTTGCAGGCCTTGATTCTTGGCCCAATTGGGGCTGTCATTTACTGTCACACTCACAGGTCTGTATCCTCTACCCTGACTCACTTCACTCCTAGTTTTTGTCCCCTCCTTCTCAGCCTGACTTCTTCCAGGCCTGCAGCTGTTTTCCCTGAGCCAGATTCCTTCCATACCTGTAACCCTGTGTTCCTCACATTCTTCTACTACCAGGCCAGAGCCTTGTGTTTCCCCTGCCTGCCATCTCATCTGTGTCACAGCCTGTCTCAAACTCCCATTCCCATTGCTGGTGTCTTCCAGTTTGCAGGTTGACACCTTCAGTTCTCCAGCTTTGTGTTTTCCCATTCACGGACAGGTATCTTCCTCACTGTGTTCTCCCCATACTTTGCTTCTCCTGTACCTGCAGACTCCTTGCTCTTCCCACTGCTTAAATTCCTTTGCCTGCAGCCTGGAATGTTCCAGGACCACTTGGGCACATGACAACTGTCAGGTCAGGTGCTTTCCATAGAGGACCTGGGGCTCCCCCCTTCAGGCCCTAGGTCATTACAGGGTCCCTGAAAAGTCCCTATTCAGGCCCTCATAAACCACACCCGCTGTGGCAGCACACAAGTTTTCTCCAGTCCCATAGGTAGCCCATCCTTTTGTGATGTCGCAGGAAGTCCACCAAATCCCAAAACTACATCCTTTGGTCATCCTGAGACCTCTCTTCTACTGAGGAGCCATGCCTGGGGGTGGCTGGGAGCAATGTGGGGAACAAGGTGGAGATGGCTCAGTCTTGGACCCCCAGTTCTGGTTGTAAGTGGATTTCCCTCCCCTGCCATCCATGCTGGTGGCCTCACCTCCTAGGGTGCCTGGGAAGGAGAGCACTCCAAGCACATGGCCCCCAGAGCAGGAGGAAGGCTTGTTAGCTTGACCTCCAACCAGCTTCTTCCTTGGGGGTCACTGCTCCCATCCCTCTCCCTCTGAGCCCACCTGCTCCTTCCAAGGGCAGACCCATATGCAGAGGCGGGGGCCAGGTGAGTGTGGCAGTGATCTGGTTCCCCTCCCCAGTACATGGGTCTCTTGCTTCCTGTCCTAGACCACTGGGAATGTCTCCCTCTGGCCTACTGAACAGCCATTCAGCTTTAGCTTGAAACATTAGCCTTTGATGGAACCAAAGAGCTAGTGACTACTAATCCTTCTGTTCACACGGTCAACCCTGGAGCCTCTGGGGGGCAGGGGAGGGGTGAGGAGTGCATGACTGATTTGGACAGAGCAGCCCACTGAGGCACTCAGATGGCACCTGCCTGATCCAGCATGATACAAAGGATGATGCCCAGAGTTCTTCGTGCACCATCCAGTTCAGGCTGATGCTAGGAGTCAATTTTCTAGTTTTGCAGGGCAGCAGTGTGGGGCCGGGATTCCCTGCCCTGGTCATCCCTGCTAGGACTGCTGCCTCCGGGACTGAGGGTTGACTGTCTGATACTGCTGCAGGGGACAATAGCCAAGCCTAGGGCTGGGGGTTGGGTCAGGCTGGACTGGAAACAGAGAGGGCTTTGTCAGCAAAGCTTCCTGGAGGAGGAGCCCCATGCTGGAATGCAGAAGTGCTGGGGAGGGGGAAGGGTGGTGCCCAGGTAGGAGAGGTACCCCTGTGCATGCTGGACTTACTAAAGTGTCCTCCTCTCCTCTCCCACCTAGAGTCACCGGCCTGAGAAGGAGTGGCCTGTCAAGAGTCTCAAAGTCTACCTGGGTGTGAAGAAGAAACTTCGACCACCAACCTGGTGAGCTGGGATGGGGAAACAGGCCTGCAGCCAGGACCTGTGGGAGCTTAGAACTAAAGGGGAGGCATAGCCAGGGTTTTGAACTTAATAGGCTTCGTTGTGGCGTTTCAGAAGGTGTAGTCCCTTAACCATCAGAATTACTTAGACGTATCTTAGGAATAAATTCTCAGGTGCTGCGTGGGCCTCCTGAGTCTTGGGTTCTGGGAGTGGGGCCTAGGACTTGTTGATTAAGCTGTCCAGGGAGCTCTGGCACTCACATATGTCTGAGAATCGCTGGCCTGGTTTAAAATCCTGTCTATCTCCAAGGACTTTCTATGCTTCAGTTCCCTATCTGTAGACTGGGACAATAGGACACCTCTTTCCAAGGGTGATGGAAAAGTGACATATACCCTCTTGCCCTTATGCATTGCCATCACCAGTTTGGTTTTGTGAGTTGCTTTTCATCTACTGGCTGTGACTGACTGTCTCTGGGTCTAGGGCAGGCCTGGGATGGGAATCAGTAGTTTTTTGTTTTGTTTGCAGTGCTAGGGATCAAACCCAAGGCTTGGCATGCTAAGGCAAGGGCTCTACCACTGAGCTACAGCTACAGCCTAGGCCTGGAGTGGGGGTAGGGGAGCTAAGGACAGGAGATGGGGTGCTGAGAGAGGAACAGGCAGTGACCAAGGTGTACTCCACTATGAGAAGACCCTGGTTCTGCCCAGCTCTGGCCTAGGCATCTGGGCTCTGTCCTGGAAACCTCCACAGGTTAAGTGACCCACTCCTTCCACCCCTCCTCTACAGCTGGGGTTTTACAGTGGTGCATGAGACAGAGAAACATGAGAAGCAGCAGTGGTGAGTGAGCATCCCATCCCGAGACCCAGGCTGAGGAGGGACAGTAACCTAGATTGGCTCTCCCCTCCTTGTCTAGTTCTGTGCCCTTTTGGGAGACCCTGGGTTGGGGAGATGGGCAGAGTGTCGCCCCTCAGCCAGGCTCTTTACAGTGTCCAGACCTATGTCTTCCCTGCAGGTACCTTTGCTGTGACACCCAGATGGAGCTCCGGGAGTGGTTCGCCACCTTCCTCTTTGTGCAGGTACCACGCTCAGGGTCTGGAGATAGGCAGAGTCCTGGGAGGCTCCGCTGGAGAATGGGGATGTTTGCTTCTTCACTATTCAGGCTGTGTGCTGCTTCAAGGAGATTTCCACTTGCTTCCAATTCATTTGCCTGTGCTTTCAATAAGCCTTTTTTAGTTCCCACTGTAGTCCATCCCAAGGCCAGGAATGCTAGACCCAGAAAGCACTCACATCCCTGACCTTGGGGTACACCCATTTAGAAAGGAAAACAGATTTAGATGGGTCCTCTTCTATTCTAACACAATCAGTGCTGTGGTGACAGAGGGAAGCCCAGCGACCCTAACCTGGTAGGTATGGGTGGGAAGGGGACCACAGTGGAAGAGGGTATCATAGGCGCTGGGGAGAGTTCACCAGGAGGGGTGTGGCTTCTAGACAGAGGAATGTGAAAGAGAAGTGCAGGCCATCAGTGGGTGCACAGGGAGAAACCAGGAGGACCAGAGGTCAGGCACAGAATCTAAAAGCTATGCCGAGGATGTTGAACTTGATCAACCAGGTAGTGGGAAGAGTTTCAAGCAAGAAAGAGAGAGAGGCGTGTGGGATTGAGCTTGAAAAGGGCTCCAGGGAGCAGGGATTGAAGGGCAGAGCCCAGCTGAGGAAGCTGATGAGCGGGCTGCTGCAGTGGCCCAGGCGGAAGCAAGGTGGTGATAGCCCCAGAGCCAGAGCAGGGCAGGGGCTTAATACAGAAAAGTTTGAACAAAGATGTTTGCAAAGAGCCCAGAATTATCTAGGGAGAAGAGAGACAAAACTACAGGGCCCTGAGCTTCCTGGTAGCCAAGGCCTAAATGGAAACAGGATGGATTCTATAGTTCTTTGGTTCCTGGTGAGAGGAGGCACAGATGAGTTCCTCTTGGAGAAATGTTTTCTCAGAGCTGCATTCTTGGAGAGGTTTGTGGATTCGGAGATGGGAGCTGTTGAGTAACATAATTGGCTGGGTTCCACAAGGGATGCAGTCATCTTCTGCTAACAGCTGCTTCTCATATCGGCTGGGATCAAAGCTGAGGGTTACACCTCAGATCATAGCTAGAGGCTTTTCTGGGAAGGGTGGGTGGATTGGAGCTGAGGTGTGGCCCAGGCTCTAGCACCCTCCTCCCTTGCTCCCCAGCATGATGGCCTGGTGTGGCCTTCAGAGCCCTCGCGTGTGTCCCGGGCAGTGCCTGAAGTCCGGCTAGGCAGTGTGTCATTGATCCCCCTGCGTGGCAGTGAAAATGAAATGCGCCGGAGCGTGGCAGCCTTCACTGCGGACCCCCTTTCTGTGAGTGGCTTTCCGTCCCTGTGGGCAGGGCAGGACCTGACCTGCCTTCACCCCACTATTCCTGAGTGCCCTCCAGCCCCTCCCTCTCTCCTCAGTAGGTTCATAGAAAAAGAGCCTCCTCTGCCTGGCCCTGGGGACCCCAGTTGCTGAAACTTCTGCAGCCACTCCATTGCTGGCTGGCCCCTCTGACTGTCACCAAGCACTTACAGAATCTGGGCTTCTGTACTCCCTACAGCTCCTCCGCCATGTCTGAGCACAGGAGTCAGCCTGGCTCTGGGACACTGCCACTGCCACTGGGAAGCCTTCCTGCTCAGACACCCTCGTGCCCTGTGTGCCCGGCATGAGCCAGCAGGGGTGCATGAGGAAGCTGTACCTCACATCCTACATCCGACTGCAGCATGGGGCTCTCTGGCTGTGGTGGGAGGCAGCAGGGTCTGCCCTGGGTGGGGACCCTCCTGGCTTTTCAGGTGTGTAGCCCTCCTGGCCTGACTTGCTCACCCAGGGTCACCCATCCTGAGTTTGTGGGGTTGGAGAGATGGGCAGAAATCAGGAGCTCTGGAGGACATCATCAAGGAGAGGCCCTGGGGCCCTGCTGGAATGGAGCCCAGCCCCTTGCCCAAAACTCCAGGTTAGCCAAGAGTGGGTGTTCTGAACAAACATTGAGCCAGGTGGTGAGGGAGCTCTGGGGAAACTTCTACAGGGCTGAGAGCTGGACTTTGGGGACTTCAGCCCCCTTCCAGTCTGTACTGGCTGGGAGGACCCAGGCTGCCGATGTCCCTTCCCCACTTTGGGGGCTTTTTGATAATATAAATATATCTGTATATTTTACCCTGTAGTGCTGAGGTCTGTGATTGCTTGGGGAGATTGGTGTCCTGGGATAGGTGGGAGCAGTTGGTCCTGGAAACTCAGAGGTGAGCCTTAGTACCCTGAAGATGGGAGACCAGATCCTGCTGTCTCCAGGCCTGAGCTGTCCAGACACTGCTGCAGACAGTATCAGCCTGGCTCTGCGCCAGCCCTGTTGTACCCCTGTGCAGCCAGGCTAGGGAATGCCAGGTCTAGGCCAGGGCAGACTCCAGCTGGGCCTGAGTGCCTGTCCTTGCTGCAGTCTGAGCCAGGGCCTGGGTGTGCATGTCAGTGGCTCAGCGCAGTCTGTGCTAGAAACACAAGGCCACAGCTCATAAGAGCATTTGTAAACTGGAACGAACTAGGGTTGGACCTGTGTCCACCTTGCACAGGTTGCTGCACTTGCTGGGCACTGTCTGTCCCTCTCCTCTAAGCAAACAGGACCTTAACTGGCAGGGGGGATTGAGCCGATCAGAGACAGAGTGAGGACTCCTTGGGAATATGCCAGACATGTCATTGCCACCTCTCCTGGAGCCTCATTACCACTTGCTCCCAGGGGCCCAGCAAGCAGACCTGCTGACCTCCACAGACTAAGCCAGTGGGACTGGGCAGAGCAGGTGCAGGATGGACCACATGACTTCTCACTAGTGATCCAGCTCAGTAGAGAGACCTGGGTACTGGTAGGGGCTTTAAGGACCTGGATCCCAGGTTCCAGGGTCCCTTGACCCCTACTGTCCTATTTCATGGACTGTGCCAAAGTCCCTTGAGTTTTCCAACTCTTGTCCTGTTCTGGGTGGGCTGCTCCAGGCCAGACTGATGGATCAAATGTCTGACCACTCTACCTTCAGGCAGGACAAAGTTTATGGGCTCCCTCATCCAAGGACTTGGGCTGGAATTCTTCCCTGGATCTGACCTTGCATTGACCACCTAACCTTGAGGCCTACTAACCTCGAGAGTGGGTGTGCACCCTGCTAGGCTGACACTCACTACCTTGACTTCGGGGCTGACAGCAGGTACTGCATTGAGACACTAGGGGGCAGGCATGGTCTACTCATCGCTGTTCGGAACAGTGTCCAAAGGCCTATAATGTGCTGGTCCTGGCTCAGGCTTTGTTGTGCTTTGGGGTGGAACAGACCCTCACTCTGCCTTTGGCCCCTAGGCTGGTAATATTCTGGAAGGCAGCACAGTACAAGAATGTGTAAGGGTATTTGTTTGTTTTGTTTTTTGCAAGGTACTGGGGTTTGAACTCAGGGACTTGGTGCCTGTCAGGTAAGCTCTCTACTACTTGAGACACACTTCCTGTCCCCAGGAATGTGCTTTGGACTCCAAGGCTCTAGGACTTAGAAAAAGGAGGAGCAACTCTTTACCAAGTGCCTGGCTGGGAATGCAGCTCAGTGGTTGAGCATTTGCCAGCATGCACAAGGCCCTGGGTTCAATCCCCAGAAATACCACCAAAAAAAAATTTATCACCTTTACCAAGCACCTACTATGAGTCAGTGCCTAGGCTTCGTGTGCTATCTGTCCTTTTTTGGCAGAGGAGGGAAGCCAGGCAAAGAAGGGAAGACAACTGTCCCGAGGTTACACAGCTCTCCTTAGTCAGGCTTGAGGCCCTCTTCTACTGCCCCACGTTGGAGGGGTGTCCTTCCTTGACTCCCCTCCTGATTCCAGCACTGTTTTCCTCTCTCACCAGGGAGTGGCCCTGCTGCTCCCCAGGAAGAAAATAAGAGCAGGCAGGAGTCAGTGACAGTGCAGAGTGCTTGCCCAAGGGGTTGGGGGCTGTGTCCCAGCAGGAGCCTTCAAGGCTTAACCTTCATGAAATTTGACAGTAACGACAGTATTGGGTGGATTAGGACGGGATGATCTGTTGGCCCTTGCCACAAGGATTCCTAAAAATGAGGCTTCTTAGGACCCTGGGTGGTTTGTGCACATGTGATTTGAGGTTGCTGGGGGTGGTGGTGGTGGCAGATGAAGCACCCAGAACTAAGCTGAAGAAGCAACTTGGGGACTCTTCCTCGAGGAGCGTAGTTGGGGGTGGGGGTTGATGTTAGGGGAGGAGGACAGGGCTTTGAAGGCCAGCCCAAGTCCAGTCCTAAACCCTGGGGACCACAGGGAACCCTGGAAGAGAAGGTTGCAGTGAGAGCCAGAGTGGTAGGGCATGTGGATGAAGGGGAGGCTGAGAGAGAGAGAGAGTCAGGAAGAGCTGCTAGGCAGGCTGGGATGTCTGCCTTTCTCCCTTCTTCCTCCTGGCTCAGCCTTCCTGCTCCATAGTGTCTGGCAGCAAGGCTGAGGGAGACCTCTGGTGAGCAGGGAGTCAGTGGGACAGAGAGGGGAAGAACTGGGCCCTGCCTCCCACTCTCCTTGCCCCTGAGCCCAAGGACTGTAGGGGGCCTGGAGCTGAGGCCTTCTTTTCTGGCTCTAATGCTTTGGTGGCTCCCAATCCCCTGCCCACAGCTAGCTGTCTGGAAAAAGCATGGGTGTGGATGTATACACTCGTTTACAAGCTGTGTGGCATTGGTGGAGGCACTTAGGTCTCTGATTCTCAGTGTTTGCATGTGTACTTTGGAGATATTAATAGTAGCTGCCTGCTGTTGGGTTCTTGGAGGATTAAATGAGCTGGTGAATGTGAAGCACCTAGCACAGTACCTTGCTACATGTGTCTGAGGAAACATAATGCATTCCGAGTCCTTTCCAGGCCCAATATATTTTCATTCAACAAGCACTTATTGAACACCTACTGTGTGCAGAGGTGAACACATTGTGGGTGGGGACAGATGAGTAAGTGGTGTGAGGCAGGGCTGTTAGAGTGACTGAAGCATCAAAAGTGCCTACCTAGCAAGCATGAGACCCTGAGTTCAAACCCCAGTGCTGCAAAAAATAAACAAACAAAAAAAGTGGTGTGAGGGAAGGAGAGAGCCCTTCTGGAGATACTGGTCAGGAAGATTCCAGAAGACAGGCAGTAGGGGAAACTGAGGGAGAGGGACACAGGCAAAGCCATGTGACCTGCAGTAAGGGCCTGTTGTGACTGAAGCCTAGCACCTCTGGATGAGTTATGGCCATGTCCCTGTCAAATGGTCCTCTTGGGATCCTCCTCTACCAGAAGAAGGCACAATTCCTCCCTCTTAGCCACTTAATGACTTAAGTGACCCAGGCCCTGCTCTGGGACCGCCTCTCATTCACATAAGCACAGCCAGTGCAGACCTCTCAGTCACTCCTCCAGGAAGGAGCAATTATGTGCATGTGCTGTGCACATTAGGTGTGTGTGTGTCTGTGCACATGCATGCTCATGTGCAAGGGTCATGTCTACGCCTGCACCCAGCCAGCCAACTAGGGACTGGCCCAGGGAAGAGCATGGTCATCCCAGGCTGGCCTTGCCCTGGATGTCCCCTCTCCCACACCACTTTCAGCTTGTGGAAATTTCCACACTTTGCTCTGCCCTGGTTACAGCTCCTACTGCTGTATTTATCACCCTGGAGACACAGTGACAGGCGCACACATGCCACACACACGCCACACACACTCATGCTCAGCACACACGTGCCTGCACTTCCAGTTCTGCAAGTGCAACGTGCACACACACACACACACACACACACACACACAGCACATGGAGCAACACCCACACACAAAGAGCTCTCTAGGAAAATTGCTCCTCCTCCCTCTTGCTGCTGTTCCTCCCCCTCCTCCCACTACCCCTCCTCTTCCTCCCAACACTGCTCTGTCCGCCCACCACCACCCACCTCAAAACACTGAGACCAAAGAGATGGGCTGGCCAGTGCCACCTGCCTCTTGTCAGCTGAGAGGCACTTCCCCCTTGGTGACTATAGTGTGACCCCCCTTTTCCCTGTACTCTTTCCCTTCCCCCTTTCTGCCACTTTTCTGCACTCCTGTCTTCTCTCCACATAAGTCACTCTGAGTCCCCTCTTTGTTACTCTTTTGACTCTGAAGTGGAAATTGCTCTTCCTGCCTGCCCTCTCTCCTGAGACTTAGGCCAAGGGACAGCTGGGGTGTAGGGGGAACTGGAGGCCTGAATCTCCTCAGCTTCCATCACCTCAGTCCCCCCTCCTGGATGAGGGGAGGGTTGTGTGTCTGGCTCCATGGAGACCAGTGTCATAGCAACGAGTCCTGGTGGGTACAGACTTCTTCCTCCTCCAGGGTTGGGGGGCCCATAGGAGGAGCTGCCAGCACGCCTGGAGTTGGTGGGCCTTGTGCTGATGTCCAACACTGGCTACTACGTCCACTTCTGGCCCATGCCACTCCAGGATGCCTCACCTCGACCAACTCTGCACTACAGACTCCACTGTTACAAGGCACTCGTCCTAGGTGTGGAGGGCAGGGGCTTACTCAGGGGTGTGCAGCAACTCTGGCCAAGCTCCTGACTCAGACCTCACTTCTCTCTTCAGGTTTCCCACCTTCCACCCAGCAGTCACAGGGTCAGAGAGATCAGTCCAGTGGTCCTGCAAAGTCTCCGGCCAGGCCTTAGTATTGGCAATGGTAATGATGATGCACGTGACAATGCTGATAAACCATGAGAGAGCACCACCACCCACTGTGCTAAGGCTTTGCAGGTGTCATCTCACTTATGAGCAAGATGACCAGCAAGTGATCTAGCCAGGGCAGGCCGGGCCCTTCCCAGTTAGAATAGGCAGACCTAGGCTTGGAGTATGGTGCCTGCCCCAGTAGGTGCTCCTTTCTGAATAGAGGGCAAAATGTCTTCAATTCTTTCTGCTAGGGAGAGTTCATGAGAAGGATATGGTGTTAATCTGGGTTTGGCCTTAGGGTTTCTAGAAACCAGTGTTGGATTTCAAAGAAGCTAGAGATGGGGAAGACATTTGCAGCCCAGCAATGCAGAGGTGGCTTCCATTCCCCAGGTTCTTTTAGAATCATGTCTACTGCCCAGGCAGGGGCCTAGGGACAAGGAGAGGAGACTCCTGCCTCCCAGCCCAGCCTCCATTTGTCTCCCCACTTTGATGCAATCACGTTGCTGCTGCCTTCCTCCTGCCTTATGTAATCATTCAAATATAGCAGCTGCCTTCATCCCACTGAGTCACACCCCCTCTATTCCCCCTCAGGTGTGGGGAGTTAAGGGCGAAGAGGTAGCACAGGGCTGAGTAGGAGTCTCGCGGCCTCCTGGCAAGGAGGATCCTGGTGTGCAGGATGGAAGGTGGTGGTGAGGGAGCTAGAGCCCCACAGAGAGCGAAACCTCCAGAACATGAAGCCACTGACCCTGCTGAAACTCCACTTTCCTGAGGGTCCTTCCTTCCACAGCCTTCTCTTCTGGACCCCTGTCCCAGTTAGGGGAGATGAGAGAGGAAGGGGAGGAGTTGTTGAGGGTGAAGTGGCCAAGAGTCCCTGGTCCTAGGCCCAGCTCTGCCCGTTGTGTTATTTGAGACTTGGATACCCTTACCTGGGCTTCACAGTGAGGGATTTCACTCTCTTGGCTTTAGCCTCTTATGCTGCCTGGTTCATATCCCTGGAGATGATCAACCTTAGGCAGGAGGCACCCAAGTGTCGGGGCCAACAACATTCCAGGCTGACTTCCCTCTCCTTCCTTTCTCTGCCTGTCTGAATCTCCCATTCTCCCTGGGCCATGTCAACACGTCCCCATCTGTGAGGCAGGGTAGGGAAGAGGGGCCGTTGAATTCTGGGCTAGGGACGGAGCAGCCCTTTGCTGCCTCTCTCCTTACTTGACATCTGCTCCACTGCCCAGCAATAATGGCGGGGGAGTGGGGGGACTCACTGTCCCTATATGGGATCATCCTATCCCTCATAGCTCTCACTGATTTGGAACCTGAACCCTAGGTTCTGGGTCCCCCAAACCACCTTCTCGGAAGGTCCTGAAGAAGCCGCTCTACCTTCAATCTACTGTAGAGGCTGTGGTGGCATCTCATTTCTGTGTCAGCAAAGGCTTTGTCACCTGTGGTTTGATTGTGTCCATGCTTTGTGTAGGATTGCAGGGGACTGTGCCAAGCCCTTCTCAAAGACATGTTTTCCAGTCCTTGTCATCAGAGCCACAGGTGTCAGTTTCCTGGCTGAGAAGGCGGAGAAGCTCTGTGAGGTGACTGCCCCCACTCCTTCCTCCCCCTCCTCGGTTGCTGTGACCAAGACCCAGGTGTGGGCCCACCCTAACCCCAGTCAGAGGAAGTCATCCAGAGTGTTCAGGCCAGTCCTCCGTGAAATCCATGTTCCACCAATTATGAGCCTTTCCCTAGAGAGCTAAGGGCGCTTCACACTCTGCAGCTTCAGCCTGCCCCTGGGGGTGGGGAAACAGCTGCTACCACCTGTGTCCCCTATGTACACCTGCAGCCTCTTATTGAGGCTTGCTCCTATGTGACCCTGGGCTGAACGCTGATGTGCACCATCGTGTTTCCACCTTCATCTTCCTTCTGGCTCCTTCACCAGCATTTCTCCCTTGTACCTGTTAGCTGGGGCTGAGCTAAATAGGACTTTGACCTATCGCTGAGGAAAGCAGGATCCAGTAGACAAAATGAGATGAACCTGAGTGGAGGTGATGGGACAGGCAGCAAGTCTGGGATAGGAGAGGTAGCCAAAGGCTGCTCAGCCCCTCAGCCCAGAGTCCTGTGGGTGATGGTTAGAATGTGTGCTGAGCTGGCCCAGGAAGCGGAGGGCAAGTCGGCCTGGGAGGATAACAGGCTGTACAAAGCCCATGGTTAGCATGTCCTTGGGGACCAGATCTTGCTCTTCCTGACGCAGAGAATGAAGAAACGCGTCAGGGACAGATCATGAGAGGTCTTAGATCCCAGGTGAGGAGCTTGACTTTGACCCTGAGGGCAGAGGGGAATTATAGGACCACATAGGTGTCTTAGGAAGCTGCCATCAGTCAGGTATAGGATGGATGTGGAAAAGAGGAGTTTAACTGAAGTAGAGGCTGGGCAACACCTAGGGGAAGGGGAGGAAGAAGAAGCTTGGGGGACAGAGAGAATGGATGGGTGTGAGAGAATCCATAGGCCTCCAGGGGTCGACTTGACACAGAAGGTAGAGGCAAGGGAAGAGACCCAGCGACTGTGCAGCTTACAGCCGAGGGATTAGAAATCTGGCCCAGGCAAAAGTCGTGTTGGATTCTGAACATCTGAGTGTCAGGGACCAGTGGCAGGTTGCCAGAGAAGGAGGCGTACTGGACTGGACTGGCACTCCAGAGGGTGCTGGGAAACAGCGGTATTGGTGTGTTGGTGGAAGGCTCCCTGCCCAGTGGGGTGAGGTGGAAAACGAGGGGAGGCAGGGCCTTGGCTACCGTGAGGAGCATCTGTATTGAGGGGCCGAAGATAGATGCACCACAATGGGAGATAGAGGGGGGCCCATCTGGAAGGTGGGAGGGAAGCAGTCTCCCGTGGGGGACAGGGGCGGGCACTGAGAAGTCACCTTCTGCAAAGAGGAGGTAGCTAGAGCCTATGGAGGCTGCAGTCCTCTCAAGACGATGGGGCAGCATGGAGACTGGTTACAGAACTGCACCCTCATCAGTTTGGGCAGCCGCCGTGCTTCCCCTTGAGAGTCCTGCCTCCTCCCATTCCCTTTTACAGCACCCCAGCTGTTCAAAAACGGTGGGCCGGGGCCTGAGAACACATGGCCCTATGGTTCAGCACCCCGGACAGCGACTGGTGGAGGGAGTGGTGGAGGAGCTGTGGACTATCTCCAGCTTTCTCCCCTTTCTGCACCACCCCAGCACTTGGGAATGGTACTTCCTTGGCCCTGTCAGTTTGGCTTCTTCCATGGGGGTGAGGGGCAACTATTTACCGTGAATTCCAAACCTTACAACACTTGTGACCACGTAGTTCAGGTGGAAAAGCTGAGCTGGAGTTCAGACAGGTGACGTAACTTACCTAGACACATGGCAGAGCTGGGATTGGAATCCCTGTCTGGCTGTAAGTCCTGAAGTTGCTGTTAAATCTTTTAAGTCCTGGACCTTGGTCTTCTTCCTGTAGCCCCTACACTGGGAAACTGGATTTGGTGTGGCATTGGGATGGGGAGGAGATCCTCTCTACCACCATATTCCCAGGAAGTTTCTGAAGAGGAAATCATCACTGTGGCTTCCAGGGTGGGAGGGAAGAGAGGGGATTTAGGGCCAGGTGAGGCCTCATGCACCTGCGCCCACCCACACTCCTCCTTTGAACTCTCCTGAGGCAGCTTCTAACTGCCAGGCTCCTTAGCTCCTGAGCAGGTTTTTGGGCTTTAGGAGCTGTGAAAGACCAAGACCGGCCATGGCTCAGAACCTCAGAGAACACCTTTCCAGCTGGCAAGATGGAGCAGCAGGGTCCCAGGAATAGGTGAGGCTGAGAAGCAAGATAAGAGTTCTGGTCTGCCTCTGCTGGTTTAAGACCAGTCTGGTCATGTTCCTTCAAGTGAGAACGCAGTTTGCCAGAGCTTTCAGAGATCTACAAGTCTATCTTTGGGGTCCCCAAAGGAAGCAAATGCTCCCTCATATCTTCTCCCCTGATACTTCCTAGGCTACAAGACAACTGCTTTCTGTAGCACTCTGCCTGTACCAGCTGGGTCACTCCTGTCCAGCCTCCCCCCACCC